CATGCCGTGTTGGCTGCAGGAAATCCAATAAGCATAGAATCAGAGAGCTTGCTCTGATTCAGTAAGCAATGGAAGAAGATGTTCACGGTTGGCCGTGCATGCTCTTATCACACCGTCAAAGTAGTGTTCCCTGATATGCCTTATAGATGATTTTATGTGGCCGGCTATGCAGTTGTCATTGCTCACAAACAGTACGGACGCTCTACACCTTCGGGTTGTTTCGACAGGGACAATGCATCTCCAAAAGACATATCTACTTCTCCCACACCGGTACGCAGCGAAGAGACCCATGGTCTATGCAAGAGTTTTAACTTTTAGGCAATGTCTACCACACTGCGTGGGCCCAGATGGCCTAGCGGCGACCCCGGCGATGTCGCAATCGCGTAGTCGGCACGCCACTGTTGATCAACACCACGACACCCATGTCTCCACGCCCACATACCCCTCCCCCGCCTACCTCTTCTTCCAACCCTTGATCAATACTGGAACTTTGATCCCACAACCCTAAAACAGCACCTTCGGCACACCTACCCACACAATGCCCCAAATCCACCACCAAGCCACCCACGGCTTCCACGCCGCCACCTCGTACGACACCCACCGCCCCGACTACCCTTCCCAGGCCGTCTCCGCTCTCCTCGCCGCCATCCTCATTGCCGATGTCCCCGGCGCACGGCTCGTTGAGCTGGGCGCTGGCACGGGGAAATTCACGAGTCTGCTTGCGGCGCGGGGCGAGGGGTTCGACGTCGTGGCTGGGGAGCCGCATGAGGAGATGAGGAGGGTGTTGCAGGGGAAGAGATTGCGTGGGGTGAGGGTGGTGGGGGATCGGGGCGAGGAACTGGGGAGTGTGGAGGGGGGGTGGGCGGATGGGGTGGTGGTTGCGCAGGCGTTCCATTGGTATGTTTATGGGTGTATTGTTGAGGATTGAGCTGAGTTGAGTTGATGGGGGTAGGTTCGCGACGATCGAGACACTCGAAGAGATTCGGAGGGTGTTGAAGCCGAGTGGAGGGGGCTTGGGGATGATCTGGAACGTGGATGATTGTGCGTTTGTGCTTTTCTACGCTGGCTTTGGATTTGGAACGAACGAGCTAATGCGGCTGGATGTGCAGTCAACGCGCCCATCGACCACACGCCATCCACGCCCTGCGAAGCGCGACTGAAGGCTATTATTCGGAGCTTGCCGAACCCTATCAACCTGTACCGGGAGCTAAAGTGGAAAGATGTGCTTCGGCCGGAGCAACAGCAGCTCTTTGAGTGGCCGTTGCGAGAAGATGAGATAGCTTACGAGACTAGACTTTCTAGGGACCAGATTTGGGAACGCTTCGCTACGATGTCGCAGGTTTCGAGTTTAAAAGGGGATGAGTTACAAGTAAGAGGTGATGCTAGGAGATCAAACTGTGCTGACTGCAAAAGGCGATGAAAGATCGTGTGTTCGAGACTTTGACGAGCGACGATGTGGAGGAGGATGAAGAGGGCAACATCAAATGGCACGGTAGAGTACGTGCTGAATCCCAACAAACATTCGTTCTTGGTCTTACTGCATCTACTAATTGTTGTAGACTGTGTGGTACTGGACGTTTCCCATTGCCGACCGGTGAGATGGCTGGAGATGTTGGGTTGGCGGACATTGCGCTGTACAACCTCAAAGACGATTGAAGATGTTGTCAGTGCCGAGTCGGAACTAGTTACTGAACTATTCCTGACCGTGTGCCTGAACGCTAACCGGAAACGTGGAGTGCTGCTTACTTCCTTTGAGCTGTCTTACAAGGTGGTGTGGTCTCCTTCCCAATACGAGCTCTTAGCTATGCAGTCAGCATTAAGGCGAAAGCGGAAATGCTACTTCATGTCACCAGAAGCGCGTTCAATATGAGGACACGGACTTAAGATTCGGTTTATAGGTTCCTCTGGAATAATAGCAAACAGTTTGCAGCACTTCGTGCAACTGCACAGTTCATATTAAGCTTTGGCGAAGCCGAAACAAGGATTAAGATCGATCGTTAATGAAGACCAACATACCGCCACCAACAACAACTGTCATCGCCAACGTGTTATTCAATGCGAGAGGGTCCACCTATATAGACTTTTGAAAGCGTGGTATGATACTTTTTTCATCCATCGCACAAATCACACACAACATAACAGGATATCATCATGTACGCTACAGCGCAGTTCTTCGCGGGCACCAAAGACGGCAAACCAGCTTTCCTAGACTATGCCACGGGAGAATCAAACCTTCTTCCCGCCGTAAAGCAAAAGATCTACCTCAACGACATCCGCACACTCGCCATCCAACCGACCCTCCAATCCCACGGCTTCCAAAGAGCAGACTTCCCCTCCTGCACCCCCGAATCAGCCTTCCTCCCTCCTACCCAAGCAGACCCCTCACCAAGCAATGCAATACCCACCTACTACCACGAATGCGAATCCCTCATCCGCAGCCTAACGGGCGCCACCACCGTCCACGCCTTCCACCACCGCCACCGCCAGCAGCAACCCCCACCCACGGACACCGCCGAGAAAATAAAAACATACACCACGACCCCCGTTCCAGACATGCACATCGACAACGACGCCGCGACCGCCCACGCGCACCTCGCGCGCCAGCTCCCCCCCGCAGAAGCAGCCCGCTGGACGGCCCCCAACCGCCGCTGGGCCATCGTCAACGTCTGGCGGCCCCTCGCGCCCATCCACCAGATGCCCCTCGCGCTGCTCGATCCCAGCTCGACGCCGATCCACATGACGGGGCTCGCGGAGCCCGTGGCCACGCGCGGGAACTATAAGAGCCATATTAGGGGGCTGCGGTGGCATCCTGGGTATAGATTTTACTATGCGAGTGGGATGGGGGAGGGGGAGGCGTTGGTGTTTGTGGATTTTGATAGTAGGAGGCGGTGGCGGTTGGGTGGGGTTGCGCATGGGGCGGTGCGGGTGGAGGGTGCGGGGGAGGGAGGAGGGAGTGGGTCGCTGAGGACGAGTGTGGAGGTTAGGTGTTTGGTTTTGTATGATTAGTGGAGGGAAGGGGGTGAGATGGGGTTTGGGCTGTGGAAGGTAGGCTTGCACTAGTATAGACTTGTAGACTTGGTATTTTAAACATGTGGCTTTTTCTACAGCAGGGAATTGCGTACAGCTGAAAAAGAGATTAAGTCGCAGAAGAACACACGTTAAAACGTGTAGATTAACATCTATAACAAACAAACAAAAAACTAACAGACACGGTCGGATTCGAACCGACGTTTTCCTCATCACCCAACCCTAGGTCACCATACTCGGCTTGCCCAAGCCTTCTTTCCAAATTCGCCTGCAAGCGCCGCACCAGTCGTGGATACCACGGAGATGCGGGTGGCCACTCGCTTGCAGACAGGGCGAGCATACCTTGTGAGGGCATGCGTACGGTCCTCCCCAGTGGGTTCAAGAGCGAGGGCGTCATACCGCTAGACTACGTGTCCTTGAGTTAGTTGTTGTTGAAGGGGTTAGAAGAAATGTTTCTATATGGGCTTGGATTTGGAGATGGTTTTCTCGGGATGTGGATCATGCAGGAGACAAACAATTTCGGGGGAGTTTCTGGTGTTCTTCGTCTAAGTGACTTTTTGTTCACATGGTTTGTCACTATTAAGCAGTTTAACATAAAGGACGTACACAGCGAGAGATGCAGTACTTGATACGTTGATTCAGGACTTCGTGTTTGATGCGGAAGCTCTACCTATGTATCATAAAACACGTTATTCACGAGGCTCTACCTGTGTATCATAAGATATACACGTTACTCAAGAAGCTCTACCTGTATCACAGAACATACACGTTACCTACGTAAACAGCATTTGCTCCAACCCTGTGTTAAGCTCTAAGAGGGAAAAATGCAAGATCAAGGGCCTACCTGTATGGTCATAGACAACAAACAAAAAACTCAGAACACGGTCGGACTCGAACCGACGTTTCCCTCGTCACCCAGCCCTAGTCCCACCTTAGAGCCGCCATGCCCGCCTAAGCACCGCATCAACGTTGTCTCCAACAAAGATGCGGGTGACCGCTCGCTGCTGGACAGAGGGAGTTTACCCACGGTTCGTCCTAGTGGGTTCTGGAGTGAGGGCGTCATGCCGCTAGACCACGCGTTCTTGATTGATTGAGAACTCCGCTGCATTGGGCCATATATAGCTAGAGTAGACATCTGCCGTGTATGTTTAATTGAAAGGAACTAGGGGTTTGGGTGCAGAGCATTGTTTGCGTAGATTGATGAGTTGATAACTTGGGAAGTTGAAAGCTTGGAACGCTCTTACGTTTGGTTTTTCGGCTATAAGCGTACTCTCACGAATAAACTGTGCAAGGCTTCTTGGTTCAAGAACTCTTCATGTGCGAAAGAAATCATGATCAATAAAGAATCGGAAGCGGCTGCTGTAGTACCAGCGGCAACGTGCATTACGCCATGGTCGCACCTCTGCACTTCCGCATCGTGCAGAGTGCGGACGTTGTTGGAGTCTATATCAGCTCACGAGCTCTTCTGGAACTTGTGGAAGTTTCGATCCCAAAACTAATACTGTCTCGTCTGGCATGTACCAACGTTTGCTATGCGTACACTCCGTCCCAAGAAGTTGGCTCGCCTCTCCCCCATACCTGTTACATCTATTATGATTTAATGCTCTATATCTGCTCATCAATAAGAACGCGTAGTCCAACGGTAAGTCGCCTTGGCCAAGCGATCCAACGTGGCCAAACCGGCCCTGGTCTGCCCCAGCTCTAGAAAGCGAATTTTAGCTAGGATAAATGATTGACAGAGTTTAGGCGGATTATTAAAGAGGCCAGATGCACCGCTTTAATGGTGAGCGTGAGGGGACTTCAGAGACGGTGTTGGGCGATGAGGGAGCCGGTGGTTCGAATCCACCCGGGTTCAGTTTTTGTTTGCTTGCCCCCTCCACCACATAGATGTGAGCACCGTAGATGAATAAAGACAGCATATGTGACCTGTGTCTATATATATGCTCCGGATCCAAAGCAAGTATCAATCTCAAGGGTGCGTGGTCTAGCGGTATGACGCCCTCGCCTCCAGACCCACTGGCATCCTTGGAAAAGTAGCTCCCCTGGCCCAGGAGCTGCTTCTCCAAGGTAAAGCTAGGGCTGGGTGATGAGGGAGACGTCGGTTCGATCCCGACCGTGTCCATATTTTTTTGTCTTATCTTTAAACAGGGCATATCCCCTTAACATTAACTTTTAGTGGATGAAATGATGTCTTGTGCGGGAGTATTAGGCCAAGTAAAGAGAGAAGCGTTTGTGCGCGTTTGACTGTGTTTAGGCTCTTTCTATAAACCGATAGTAGGGTATACGCGGCTAGCTCTGTGCGTCTTATATCACCCAGCCTACTAACCACTAGAACACACGCTCTAGGATCTTTGATAGAACTTTGCGGTAGGAAGGCGTATATGTAGTGTGGAGAAATAGGCCTCCTGGTAGAAGAGAAGCGCCATGCGATCGTAGGTAGACGTGTCAACTGTATAGGAGCAGGTAAGACTAGGGAGAGAAGACCGACAGGAGAAGAAGAGATAGATATAAGAAGTTAAAAAAGTTGATATCAGCACGTGTATCTACAATACATAATAAACAAACTACACAAAGCCCTCCCTGCAGGCTGATCATCGGCCAAAAAGAGATCGATTTGAGCACGCCCGGATTCGAACCGAAGCCTCCCACAGCACCACGATCGCCCCAGCGCTTCACTGGAAACCTAGGACGGGGCGTCCCCCGCCCGCCAGTGTCCGGCCGTGGGGTCCCTACGTTATCGTAGGGCCCCCAGGCCTTCCGCTTCAAAGGGGTGTCCACCCTGATCCGACCGGCTCCACGGCTCGATGCCGGGACGATTGCTCTGTGTGGGCGTCCTGACCACTGGACCACGCGCCCCGAGTTGAACTGATTTGATGAGGGAAAGAGGAACTAGTAGATATATGTAGGTTGGTTAGATCGGGTTCTAAGAGAAGTGAGGGAACATGCGTGGAGTGAGTGGTAGAGTATAGTGAGGGAAGATGGGCGATGAATATAGGGACGAGAGGAACATAAGCGTCGAAAAAGAAAACGTGATTGGGACGGTAGGCAGGAGTCTGTTGGGATGGGTAACCCGGAGAGCCGGCTCTGTAGAGGAGCGGCGCGTTGCTGAAGTTTGGGTGATGATTGCGGCGGCGCGTCGAATAGTGACTAGATGATGTTGTTGTTGGGAAGAAGGCACGGTAGACATGGTCTGTACACGGTAAAAGTAAAAGGCAGATACCCTACTTAAACCCTCGAGGGTATATAATGCAAAAAAGGCGTCCGTTTCTACTATTTCAAGCCTTTACTGCATCCAGAAAATCGGCTGCTAGAGATGGGGGCCGCTCCTGACGAAACGAATACATTTGACTGGGATGATTTTGGATCAAGTAGTCAATTGCAAACAACTCTCCAATGTCCTGGACGACCTGATTTACTAGAAAAACATACATTGAAAGTGTGCTCACCGCCTGCTCCATGTCAGCATGAGGTAAGATCCATAGAGAAACCTGATTGCAGGTTCGAAATCAGATTTGTGATGTCCCTGACGTATTTTCCAACATGGTGAACTGGAAGGATGGCAGGATTGTGTTGGATACGTCATTGACGTAGCGCGGCGGCGTCCATGTCTCCAGCCCGGCCTTGAGCGAGAAACAGAAGGAAGCAAGTCGGCCGCCTAATGACGACAACTTCATCACTGTGCGACACGTCGCTCAGCGAAGCTCATCGATAGCTCTTTCACATGCAATTCCCTCGCGAAAACCATCGCCCCTGGACGGTCTCCTCGGAGTCATACTCTGCGTCGAGGCGCCAGCGCGTGCCGGTTCTGTAAGCCTGAACGACGGGCAATCGTCATGCACGAAGTTGCGATCTGTTCTCTTGAGCAATGACTGTGCATTCGAAGTCCATAGATAGTGGATGAGGAGATTTGGTCGCGATGAGAGAGAGGAGTTCAGGCAGCCGGATTCGGAGGCGCTCTATACGTCGGAAAGGTGCTGCCTCGCCGAACGCGCGTTCGTTTCGATGGCGTCCAGCCCAGGGGGACCAGAACATGCGTGACTCGTACAGGAGAAACACAGTTTCTATGTATGACGCCCCACGCCCCGAATCCGATGGCGACACGCCTAGATTTGAACGGATGATACAGAGGTCCACTGGGTCTTGCGTGTGGACCAAGACTGCTCGATAACGGCACACAGCTGCCTATTCCAGCCAGGTTCGCCGCAATTACAGGGTCCTCGGTGCGGAAATTCGACAAGCCGTCCCGGAGGTTGCGTGGGCTGCAACACTCAGGGTCTAAATGGCGAGTCTAAACTGGATTGCGAAGCTGCTTCTCGAAGGCAGAATTACCAAATACCCATGGTTATGTTCACGCGATGGCTGCGGTGCGGCGGCACGATCAAGGGCAGGTTATCACTCTGTGCCTGGCCTCGTGCCCCCTCGACAGGGTTGTTACCCCGGAAAAGCGCAAATCTCCCGGTCTTGTACCGTAGCACGTACCCTTTGTTCGGCTTGGGATCATGCAGAGCCGGTGTTGTATATTGGACGGGTAGACGGGGATATTAAGGCGCCGGAGAAATAGATGAAGAATATGGGGTATGGAGGGTTCGAGAAGGCGTCCCGCTCTGCTTCCCTGCATGCGAGGGCAGAGCCGAGTGCATATGAATTTTGAGCGTGTTTGTGCGCGTGGCCTGCAAGGCGGCTCAAGGGCGGGATTGCTTCACGATTTACACAGCAAAGGGAGCAGGCTCAGAGCAACTGTTGAGCGCGCTCAGAGCTGGTACCACGTGGGGGCGTCCTCAGAGTAAAGGCAGCGCACTCAGCACGGAGCCGTGTTTCGTGCACTCGTACGCCACCCGTGGATCCCTCGGCAGCGCCTCGCGTCACTGAACGCTGACGAGGTGGGTACCCCTATCGATGATGGCGATGGCGCTATTCCTGTGCGCGCCCTCCAGCGCTCCGCCTTCGGGGTGGAGTATGCAGAGGAGCCCCTGAGCCAGACTGCAAAGCCTACGGCGTGGGAGAGTCGAAACAAAACAGCAGTCTCTCAACAGCGACCCACCACGACGAGGCGTAGCTGGGGCAGTCGGCCTGCGGGAATGTACCAGAAGCACCCCTGGGGACTGGGGACGTGCTGGAACTGCCTCCTTGGGCCAGCTACGACGCGGTCCCCGAGCGTGAAACACAGTTGGCCCGACCGTCAAGGGAGCGTGGGGCGGCATTCGTCGCCTTCACGGTACGCGGCGGATGGTTGTTGAGGAATTCGCCGTCGTGGACGCAGCGTGCAGCGTGCGGTGGGCATCGACGAGGGATCCGGAGGCAGTTTATCCAGTACTCACAGGCAATATTGACGGAACGAGGTGCAATTCCAGGGTCGCGGCAGCACTCTAGGCGGAGGCAACGTGCGTTACAGGGCGAAGGCGAAGATCAGGTCGCATGCCCGTGCACGATCGGGGAAGGTGCGCTGCCCTAATTTAGATTAACGTCCTTGCCGTAAGGGACAAGCGCCGCTGCGCCCCTGCCGCTCCACGGCCTGTCGCCTAACATAAAGGCCACCGTGTCAACTCCCTCTCACGGCTTATCACTCTCGACTTTCCCTCCCCTCTGCCTAGATGCACTAGCACTCACCACGCATCGACTACACACTACCAGACGGGGATGGACTTTTCTTACCCGACTTCTTCTCAGCTCCCCCACTCAACCGCAATGGACGCCGCTGCCATCATGGCCTCGCTCACCCCGCCCATGGACCCCACCACCACCATCAAGATGGAGGACCTCCATCAGACCCCCTTCACATCGGTCACCCCGCCCTCAACGGCGTCGACATCGAGCCCAGAACCCACCTCTCACGAGGGCAAGGCGGCCAAGAAGCGAAAGTCGTGGGGGCAGGTGCTCCCAGAGCCCAAGACAAACCTGCCCCCGCGCAAGCGCGCCAAGACCGCCGACGAGAAGGAGCAGCGCCGCATCGAGCGTGTCAAGCGGAATCGCCTGGCCGCCCACAACTCGCGCGAGCGTAAGCGGCAAGAGTATGAGCTCCTCCAGGCCGAAAAGGACCAGATGGAGGCAGACCTTGTCGCTGCCCGGCGCCAGATCGCCGCCATGACCACGGAGCTCAAGGCCTACCGCCAGAAGTACCCCGGCGAGGTCCCCGAGGCCAACCTCGACATCGACCTCGACAACACCTCCGTCTCCGAGTACAGCGCCTTCACGAGCCCAGACACCATCAACCCAGCTAAGACGACCTCATCGACTGGATTCCCCAGCCCCGACTCCATGACCATGGACACCTTTGACTCCCCGCGCGATTCGTCGTGCGCCCCCGAGACGCCTAGCTTCAGCGAGGTCGCCGTTGACTTCGACCAGACACGATATCCTGCAGAGATATTGTGCGACCTGCAGTGTCGGTCGAATACAGCGCCCACGACCTCGCTAGCGATATGGGCTTTCCTCTCGCTTTTCAACCTCACACTCCCATGGACAACAAGCCTATTGACGACCTTTTCGACTTCGACCAGTTCCAGAACACCGAGCTGGGAACTACTACGGGCCTTGTTGACAGCGATCCCTTCTTCACGCCCGTCCTCTTCGGCGGCCACCACGCTCCCGACTTTGACCTTTCTGACCACCTTGATGCAAAGCACTATGACTTGCAGACAGCCTCTGGCGCAGCCACTGCTTGCGACGAGGCTCTCGCAGCGTAGTGCTAACATCGAGAAGGTCGTTCGGTCATTCAAGGGCGCGCGGCGAGCCAGCCCAGAGGGCGGCATGAAAAGGCGTTCACGGTCACTTCGGTCTAGACAATCACACGGTCGGCGTAAGGAGTCTTTGGCATTGAGGAGAGGGTTTTTTCGTTTACTGAACAGCGTTGGGTCATGACGGGTTCTGGGCTTTTAACGTTGACGTGTGCTCTACTGTACAACAGTTGGGATGGATGTGATGGGCGAGCTGGAAAGGACCAAGAGCTGGGTCTTTCATTATAGCAAATCAACCCACACTTCACATCACTCAAATTCGCTCTTCTGCATCGTGCTATACCCTCAATTTCTCATCACCATACTAATCTGACAGCTTCATCGCTCGCGACTCCGATTTCTTTGTGTCGCTATTCAGGTCTGCTTCGGGGAACGCGGTCTCTCGCCT